CTCTCTTAGCCTACCTACTGAGTCTTTCATAACCCACTCATATGCATGCTTTCAATTTTCTTAAATGTTGTTTTTATTGTCTCTTGCCTTTCATGTTTTCAGTCTTTTAAAAAACCATTTCAGGACCAGCAAGATGGCTCAGGGGGTAAGATGATTTAAGTTCCATCTTGGGGACACACATGGTGAAAGAAGAGAACCTACGGCAGGTTGTCTTCTGACCGCCACATGCATGCCAGGGGATGTGCATCCTCCCATAGATGCAATACATACAAATAAATGTATTTATATAAAAGAGAAAAAGTTGGGCATGGTGGCACATGCCTTTAATCCCAGCACTTGGGGGGTAGAGGCAGACAGATCTCTATGAGATCAAGGCTAGTCTGGTCTGCATAGTGAGTTCCAGGCCAGCTGGGGGGTACATGGAGATCTTTTCTCAAACAGTAATGACAAGAACAACAACAAACAATGTACGGGGGTGGAAAGGCAGAAAGTAAAATCTTCATGATGAAAAGACGGTGATTAAATATGTAGATGCTCTGGGGCTGGAGAGATGGCTCAGCGGTTAAGAGCACTGACTGCTCTTGCAGAGGACTCGGGTTTGAGTCCTAGCACCCACATGGTGGCTATGAACCTGGCAGGGGTGCACTCACGTACATGCAGGCAATACACTCATACACATAAAATAAAAATAATAAACAAAGCCGGGCATGGTGGTGCACGCCTGTAGTCCCAGCACTTGGGAGGCACAGGCAGGTGCAAAGCCGTGAGTTCAAGGCCAGCCTGGTCTACATAGTGAGTTCCAGGACAGCTGGGGCTACAGGGAGACCCTGCTTCAAAAAGACAAAACAAACAAACAAACAAACAAACAAACAAAAACCAATATTTAAAAAATATGTAGATGCTCTTTATTCTGGTTTTTCATGTTTGAAATTTTCCATAATTAAAATTTGCCTCTATTCGTGTTTTAGTATGGTTTTGGAAGGGACGGGATTTTGGGGTCTTTATTCAATTGCCCTCTATTGGAAATGCAGAACCATTTATTTTTCTACACTGATTTTTTTTTTCAGGATTTTTAGTGTGTGTGTGTGTGTATCACAAGCATGTGGGTGCCTGAGGAGGCCAGAAAAGAGCATTAGATTCCCTAGAGCTGGAGTTACAGCCATTTGGGAACTGAACCTGCGTTCTCTGCAAATGCTCTGAACCACCAAGCCATCTCTCCAGCCCCAACCATTCACATTTTAACAAGCATTTATTGAGTATCCACTGTGTGCTAGGTAAGTACTCTGTCAAGATATACAGGAATATGGAATAGGGAGATTTTTGTTTTCCCTGATTACACTGTTTTTAAAAGCTACCTCTATGGCTAAATAATAGTGTTTGGTTTCTTCTTCTTTTCTAATGTTTGAATTTGTTTTGATTTTGATTTAGATGTTCAATGAAATATGAAAGAACTCCTAAAGGGGTAAAGGTGTTGAGTGTAAGATGGACTATCAGGGAGTATCTTCTCAAATCTGATGCTGTGGTGGTATGGGGACATATGCCTGGAATCCTGGCAGCTAGGAGCTGGAGTAAGAGGCCAGCCTGGGCTGCATATCACACCCTGTCCCAATAAGCAAAACTAAGCAAGTCATTTCTTTTTTGACACAGGGTCTTGCTGTTTAACCCAGGCTCATCTCCTTCTGGCACTACTACTGTCTACCTACTTTCTTCTCAAATCTGAATACTGTATTTGAACAAGCCATTCAAGTGGTTTAAATAATCAGTAAAAATGTGACAAGGAGTGGAAAACTATTATTTACTAGCATTCAGAGAGAAGATAAATTGTTTATTGTTTATTTTCCAGGAAGGTGGGAGAGTTTTGTCAATAGAAAAAAAATGAGGAGTGCCCCAATGGTGATTCGTAAACTGTATTAGAATAAGCGAAAACTCTCTGCTTTTAGTTTGTCCGTGATGGGAGTGCCATGAACTGAAGGTATTACTTATTAAATTCATTGTTACATAAAATCATTCCTGTTTGCTCACGGGGACAGCTGCTCCCCTAAGGGGCAGACAGCTACTAGAATCCATGAGCCATCAACCCTGGATCTAAGTGGATAACACTAGGAGGCCAGTCACTTCATCCAATAGCAATTTGTTATAGCCACTTATGGCTTGACTTGATTAGCTCTCTTCTGTCTTCCTTCTCCTCTGAGCTTTCTAGAGCAATTGTCTTCTAAAAAGGGGCCAAGGTCAAGTTAATCTCCCAAGGAAGCAAAAAGCTCATTGCTTTAGCTGCTTTTGCCCATGAATGTTTTTCAGGATAACATAGGTCTTATTGATAATATGTGTGTTTGTATATAGAGTCTTTTAGAGTAGGGACTGAAGCCATTCTGACAGAATTCCTGTGCCTGCATGTGGCAAGCTATGGTGGATGGATGGTGAGATAAAAATCTATCAGATTATAATCTACTTGAGGGCAGTGTGCATTTTGGAATATCTGTTTCAAAACCATCTAACATCATGCTGTGTATGTAAGAAATATTAAATATTTTTCAATATTGATTCAGTACTTTTAACAATGAATTTGTATTACTAGTTGTTTCTCTCAGAGCTTCTCAATAAACCTCCAATTCTAACAAAGTTAGCAAAGTCAAAAGTAATAATAATGATGATATAAAGCTTCACTTGTTAACATTTATGTGTGCTGGCACAAATGACAGAGTGCACATGGAGGTCAGAGACAACTTGTGGGAGTTGGTTCTCTCCTTCCACCACATGGGTTCTGGGGATAGAATTTAGGCCATCAGGTCAGGGCACAAGCACCCTACCCATTGAGCCATCTCCCTAGCTCTACAACAGCCACTTTTAATATTCCACATTTGTCAGAGATATTATGGGATGTTCATTGGTGAGAATACTATTCCTCTATCTAAAAATACACATACAGCTGGGAATCGTGGTGCATGCCTTTAGTCTTGACACTTGGGAGGCAGAGGTAGTATTTCTGTGATATTGAGGCCAGTCTTGTCTACATAGTGAGTTCCAGGTCAGCTGGGAGTACATAATGAGACGCTGTCTCCAATAACTAAACTAAACCAAGCCAAAAACAAACAAAATCAGAGACCATATTAAATCATGAAAAAATAATTTCACATTCTAATTTCGAATGATGGATAGATTGAATTCCAGGTCCCTTTAAAAAGTCTAAAACCATACTCTATGTATAGCAAAATCATTTACATACTAAATAACACTTTACTAGAATGATCTGATATAGTTTTAAACAGTAAAAAGGGAAAAATTTCAGGTTGCAAAAGCTCCCCTTTTTGCTGCTACATTTTGGTAGTGGTGCATGCCAGTCCCATTCCTCAAGAAATTCACTCTGATGAGGAAAACAATGTATAGAATAATACTTTCCACAGTAGGTATGAAAACTTTCACCAGCCTTCCAAAGGCGAGAGGAAGCCTGGGACTGGCGGCCTGGGCTGCCAGCTGGCTATTCGGAATTGGCTGTGTGAGAAGGGTAAGCAGCCTATCCTTTCCTCTTGAAGACAGCACACATCTCTCAAGGTTCCAAGCTTTCCCTTCCCTCAGGATCTTTCCAGTTTTACCAGAGTCACAGAATCTTAACACAGGAATAAGGTTTTAAGTTACCTAATCAGACTTCCTAGTTGGTGTTTAAGTCTTCGCTGCTTCTGTGTGTGTCAATGTCTGTATCACTTAGAACATACTACTAGCATACAAAGAATAAAACCCCAAACCCTGTTGGTTTAATTAACGGAGGAAGGCCTCGGCTCTTAACTGTTTGATTCAGACTGGAAACATCACCAAAGAGTAGATTTCCCTTTGGAAGGCTGTCTTCATGTCTATTTTATTTAATCTGGCTAGACCTGGTGTTTGGAAGATGGCTGTTATTTTTCACTCTTGAGCACATGAGAAAAAGGAGGTGCCTCAGATGCTCTCCTGGAGTATTAGAGAAAAACTTGCTCCAAAGACCGCAGAGAAGTGCTCCTCTGATTTTCATTCTAATTAACCAGTCATTAACAGGAAATTGGGATTGTGCTAAATTTTTTCGTGAAATTATGCTACTTTCTTAGGATGAACACCCCACCCCCAGGATACCAGAATGCGACAGAGGGGACGGGGCACAGGGGGGCATGGATCTGGGGGGAGGGAGGCCACCAGCAGGTCTGGCGTAAGGTCCAGATGGAGACTCCACATCCAAACTACAATCGTCTTCTCCAGCCGGCCAGCTCTGGTTGTGTAAGTACAGTAATGGCGCACATGCTGCTCAGTCTGTCTTCTTGTTTCCATCAAGTTAAGAGTCTAATGCTCCGCCTTGGTGCTCCCGAGTCGGCTCTTCTTCAGTTTTGCCTTGGGGTGCATTTTCAGCATCTTCAGGTTTCTTCCGCTTGGACCTTCTGGTCCTCTCGGCCCTCGCTGACCCCGACACAACCCGAACCTTGGCTGCCACTCGGGAGTATCTTCCTAGCAGGGCCGAGGTTCCTCCGGCTCTTTCCCTTTCTTCCGCGGGACCACTTTCAGAACCCGCGCATCGAGACTGAGCTTCTCGGCACCCGAAGGACCCAGCACAATCCAGTCCAGAACTCTGCGGCTGCGGGTCTCCGTGCGGGGCTCAGGTCGGGTGACGGTCACTGGCGCTCGAGCAGCGAGAAGCCCGGGCCTTCTCCCTTGGCCGGCCACCACCGCAGCTCCTCGTTGGCCTCCCTTCCAGCGTCCGGCTTGAGGATGGCTCCGGGCGGCGGCTCTGGGTGCTCCTCAGTGTTCCGGGAGCTGCACTTTGGGGCGCCACAGGCGTGAGGAGACGACCGGGGCCCGCCGCGCTCCCCGAGCCGGGCCGAACATCCCAGCCTCCGGGCGACTTCCGTGCGCCACCCCGCCGGCACCAGCTCCTCGGCTGGCCGGGGGCTTTGTCCCCGGTCGCCCCGCCCCGCCCTGCCCCGGGCACGCTGCGCCTCCCCGCCCCCTCCGCGGGCCCACTTCCTCGGCTCCGGCAGGAGCGCGCCGGGCAGCGAGGGGTTAAGCCGACGCGCTTAAGGCGCGGAGGGATCCGGAGGCGAACGGAGCGCGGTGCTGAGGCCGCCTCAGCGAAAAAAATGTCCGCCTGAGGAGACCCACAAGTTCTATCCGGGGGACCGCCAGCCCGCCCCGGGACCACGGGCGGCCAGGCCCGAGAGCCGCCCGCCCCGCGCGGACCCGAGCGCTCGCGCGGGCCCGAGGCATTCGAGCCGGAGGCGGCGCCAGGGGAAGCCCGAGCCCGCGCTCCCGGCCAAAGTGAACTTTAATCGGGGAGATTGGATGCGGAGACGGGGCGGCAGGTAACCGCGGGCAGGCGGGCGGGCGGGGCGCCGCCGGACTCGCGGAACTCTGGTCCCTCTGTACCGCGCCGAGCCCAGGGCCACGTCCAAGTTGTGGCGCGCGGCGGGGCGGAGGCGCGAGCCGCGGGATCCAGGCCCGGGCAGCGCTCGGCCTGCGCCCCGCTGGTTAACTCGGGCTCGGGCGCGCGGGGCCGGGAGGCGCAGAGCCTGCCTCATTGTTCCGCGGGTCCGAGGAGGGCGGCCCGAGTGGGAGGAGGACGTCGCGCGGGAGCCCTCCGAGTTGCCGGCGGCTGTGCTTCACGTCCACAGACGCGCGTGGGGGCGCTCCCCGACATCCCGGGGCCCCCGCCGGGAACGTCCGGGCGGCCGTGGCCGCAGATGCGGGCCTGCGAGCGGCACGCTCCCCGCAACTTGTCAGGTCTATTGTTGCCGAGAGAGTGAGTCACTCGGTCTTGGTCGCCGCCGCTCCGCTCGCTCGGCTCGGGCCCGTCCCGCACTCGGCCCCGGGGACCCCCCAGCACCGAGCCGGGCCGCCCGCAGAGCCGCCTTGGAAACTTGCGGGAGCCGCCGCGCCAGGCACGCGTGGGTTCCTGCCGCGAGCGGCGCCCCTACTCGCGCTGCGGTGGGGATGCGTGGGGGGGGGTGCCGGAGTGTCCGCAGCTCGTTCGCCCCCTTCCACGGCGGGTCTGGGGTCCCTGCCTCAGCCGGTCTGCTCTGCCTGTAGGACCTGTTAGAAGTGGCGAAGATGAATCCCCAGCAGCAGCGCATGGCCGCGATCGGGACCGACAAGGAGCTGAGCGACCTGCTGGACTTCAGTGCGGTACGAGAGCTCCTCCGCATCCCGGGGTTCTGCTGAGGTTTCCGAGATAGCAGGCGAGCGAAAAAGGGGGGGAAGCGGCACAGCAGCGCCGAACTCCATCTGCTTTTCCGCAGTTGTTCTCAGGGCTGGAGTCCAGCTCCCCCAAGTTGGACACCTGAACTTTGATGTAATGTCTAGACTTGCAGATTTCAAACTTTAGTGCCAGAGGGGTCATTTGATTTAGCCAGTTAAAAGAACAATGTAATCATGAGCTTTCGTTGAGTCACTCCCTAGCCCTGATGATTAGTAGGGAATTTAGACTTTTTATGAAAGAAAGATTGTTTTTTCTTGAACAGTTATCAGCATTTCCCTCCCCAAGACCTCATGTGGCTTGTATCGAAAGATGTCAGATTCAAGAAAGCCAGTGCAGCGCTAGAAATCCCAATCTTCCGTGCTGGAGTAGTTAGTATACATATATATTACATATATGTGCATATATGTTGTGTGTGTTGTATGTATAGTCTTAACAGAAATTGACTTAAGAATACAAGGTGAAGCCACAAGGCCCATCGCCCTTATTTCTTACTAATGGGCCGAATTCCATCATAAACTGCTCCTAGAAGGTGAAACTGCTGTATAGAACTGTTATTATCTTTATGCAGTAATTTCATCGGACGTGATTCTGATTGCAAGTGCTTATTAAGTAATGTTACTGTAATGAGAAACACTTAGTACCAAAGTGAAGATCATGGGTAAAAATTTACTGTTGAAACTTAATTATCTTGAAATCTTGTGTGTGGGTTTTCAGAGCAGAATGTAACCAGTTTTTCAAAGTACTATTAGTAAATGTATCTTTGATTTTTATTTCAAATTCCCTATGAAAATGAAGAAACTAATTGATGACACTTCGTGGACTTTTGTTTGCAAGGAGTGTAGAAGAATTTCAAGTTTAATAGATTTATTTTGGATTATTTGCAGATGTTTTCTCCACCTGTTAATAGTGGGAAAACCAGACCGACAACACTGGGAAGCAGTCAGTTCAGCGGGTCAGGTAAGCCGATGTTGAAAATCAGAACCTTATACTTTGGTATTGTGATGCATTTTAGTTAGAAAAACATAAAGCATTTTAGTGTCTGCCACACCATTCTTTACTGTGTCAGGTTAAAATCATACACTGAAAAAAGCTTCAACTTTGAGAGTTATACTAAAGATTCATTGATATTTTTATAAGAATTTCAGTATGGATTTGAAATTGTTCCCTTTTCTGTGAATGTTAAAATTGAAAATTGTCATGAGTACAAGGGACTATCTCATGACACTCTATTTAGAAAAGTACCAGAAGAAAATG